TCGAGGAGCCGTCGCACTGCGAGAGAAGAAAGTCAACGGGGTCCATGGAGAGAGCGCCGCCGTTGGAGGGCACGAGCGCGATGCCGACGGCGCTCCATAGGAGGCAGACGAGAAGGGGGAGGAGGGAGCCGACGAGGACCGCAATCCTGATGCGGTCGGGCTTGCCGTTGAGCATGCTGCAGACTGTGGGGACGACCTGGAGGTACATGAGAATCTGTAGCATGATGGGCATCTGCAGCAGGAGCTTCTCGGGGGCTGAAGGAGGAGACGAGCAGCCGCGAGAAGTTCGCCTGCCCTGCTCCCATGCCGATGATGGCCAGGAGGGAGAGGAGGAAGATCATCGTGAGCACGTTGTTGACCCCCTCCGTCACGCTCCCCGACCGGAAGGAGCAGTCGGGGCCCAACACGATGACGTGGAAGGCGAGGGAGAGGAGGAGGCAGCCGGCGGCGTGGGAGCGAAGGCCGAGGAGCTTGGCGATCAGACCTCCTCCTCGAGACACTTGCGCTGTCAGCGACGCCCATTGCAGCACCAGCCAGGACACGCCCAGCAGGTTTGCCAGCTGACGCCCTCCTGCAAGCGACGCGATGGCATCGATAGAAACCGTGCTCCTCCTCGTGATCCTCATCGCTCGCAACGAGAGCTCAGCAACGACCAGCCCCTGCTCGACGTCAGCTCCTCCACCACCACCACCACCTCCTCCTCCTCTTCCTCCACCACCACCACCACCTCCTCCTCCTTTGATCCCCGCCCTCCCTCCCATCCTTCTCATCTTCACCTGTGCCACGAGGTACATCCAGCATACGACCATGCCGAAGGCTGAGGGTATGAATCCTGCCAGGCATCAGTGGAGGCGACCCAAGGAGGAAGGGAAGGAGGACCGAGAGGAGCCGTAGCGTACGGGAGAGCGAGGAAGCCTCCTCCCACAGCAGAGCCAGCGATGAGGAGGACAGCAGAGACCATCTTGTCTCCTTCGCCTGAGGGAAACCAGCTTTCACTAACAATGGATTGCGAACAGTCCCCCCACCTGCTCCTCCTCGCATGTCGTTGACCGTCTGAGAGGGAGGGGAGGGGGGATGGAGATTAGGAGGAGCGGCAGAGCTGCAAAAAATGTCAGGGCCAACAACTTCGCCTCCTCGACTCGCCTTGTACGAGAGGCGAAAAGTCTTGAGATCCCAAGTTTGTGCATGAGGGGTTGGGCAGAGGGCAGCTGTTTGTCATGCAGCAGCAAGCTGTGGTCTGCTGGGGCTCCAGGGAGAGCAGAGCAAAGAGGAGCAGAGAGAAGGAGAGAGAGAGCGAAGGCGATGCGGCGAGTCGGAGTCGCCATGTCGTGCAAGTATGCGATGATAGGATAGTCGGTTCCAACCTTCAAGTCCTTCGCATCGCTGGGGAACAAACTTCGATCAGAATCATGAAGGACCTCGCGCACGACATTTTCATTTTCATCATTATTATCATATAACTGTGCTGATAACACGCAAAACGCTTCTCCTTGATCACAACCTTGCAAGGCATTTCCCTTTCGAGTGACAAAAGTTCACGGAGGGAGTCAAACGCTATCCTACATCATGGCATCCTCTGGAACATTCAGCAATAGTT